AGTTTAGCATGTTATATTACTGGACAGTGTGATGGCCTTGTGGCAGGAAAGATTTCTGTATTCTGATCCCAATTATATAACATATTGATGACAAGACCTAATAAAAAACATAGCAGGGTATCAACATGTATCTACTATATTATAAAGTAGATGATTGTGTTATATCATGTAAACTATAAAGTGTGACCGTATTATACCAGTTTTTACCTGTAGCACTGGAACAACATGATCCTTTTAAGTGACACAGCATTATTTTGAAGACCGGTTGACATGGTTTACCGGTATGACTCTGGCTTGTTACTGCTGTGACACAGAGCTGAGATTACATCCCGGTGACACGATATGATAATTGCTGCTGTAAAAATCTTCTCATTCCTTTATTTATTTTATTTATTAAGGAGGGTGTAGAGGGGACGGAGAGCAGAGACAGATGTTTAACGCAGCACGCCAAATGAAATCTGCTGCCTTGAGAGGCGAAATTCCCCTTCATTACAGATCAGAAAAGCTAAAATATAGATGGAAAAATACAAAATAAATCATTTACTTTAATGATGGTCCAAACGGGACCTAATCCATATAATGAATTTTATTATTTTTTAATTTTATTATGTTTTTTATGATTATTATATTGTATTATTTTTTTTATTATATCATTTATTTAATTTTTAATTTTTATTCTGCGTCTGAATGATTTCGACCAGAGGCTACAGCATTAAAAATGCAGCAAACAAGTTTATGCACAAAAATAACAATAATAGCCCTTACATGGTCCAATACTTCCCTCTACCACTGGTATTATCATTCGTGTACTGCCTACATTTAATGTGTTAAATTCTTTTTTCAATAAATAGAGTTTTCACTCATGTGATCTCTGATGTCGGTGCGACAGGCTCGGGGCGGGTCTTGTCGATGTAAGTCCACTTCCTGCTTCTCTGCCCTGGTTTCGCCGATCAGCTGCGCTCCAGCCCTTTATCCGACGAAAGACACAATGTCACATTCCAAACGGGCATTCAAGGTAGATGCATTCATCTTCTCTCGGTGTCTCTGTCCTTGTGTACTTTGCTGTGTGAGTGTGTGAGTTCCCGCCAGAGCTTTAAGTACCTTGCAACAGTTCACTGCACCGAGGAAGGCTAGCGTCAAGTCAGCTCAGATCTAGCTAGCCTTGAGCTACCGTGGTGTGTGTGTGTGTGTGTGTGTGTGTGTGTGTGTGTGTGTGTGTGTGTGTGTGTGTGTGTGTGTGTGTTGTGTGTAGTGGTGTTGTGTGTGTGAATGTGTGTGTTGTGTTGTTAGTGGTGTGTGTGTGTGTGTGTGTGAGCAGCGGTGCCCTGTTTCGGGCACTTTTAGGACTACGAATCATAATCCCTTAGTCTTTGGCCTGTTTGTGAGCCACCGAAATCACGGCTGCTCTGTGTTTTTATCCCACAGTAGTACAAAAGCCTTTTATGCCTTAAGCTTTTCGGCATAACGCTTAGTCCAGCTTTCTGAATGGATGGGCGACGCCTTCGTTGAAACGAGCTGCTGGCCTGGTAGACCGGCCGGTGTTGTTCCCATAAATATGTGAAGAGCAGGAGCCCAACCTGCACTGTGTTATTACTATAAAGACGGGCTTCAGTAGGGCGTGACTTCCTTTAAATATGGCAGCAGCACCGCAGAATTGCTAAGTGTGTTTTGTGATAAAACAGCGTTCAAATTACGTGAGGTAACAACAGACAGATGTTCAGTCCAACACTGGTTTTATCTTCTCCCCTGTCTGAGTAGACAGCATACGAAAGTTTGTACATCCCTCATAATTCTAAGATGGTGTTTCACATGTGTACAGAGCTTTAATAAAGGGCCTGTTGTAAGTACACCTGCCAAATTAGAGTATACCTGTAGAGAAAAATCAAAGTGAATCTTGAATGCACAAAACCCTTTGCAAAAATGTTTATATGCATCATTTAATCATTTATCTGCTTCTGCTATAGGAAACTTTTTATAATTTTCCAGAGTCACTGCAGCTAAAATTGTTAAGACGCTTCTTTGAATGTAACTTGGAGACCTGTTTTATTGCACCTGGATTTGGGTCAAAGGCCTTCAGTTACAGCTGTACAACTGTAGGCAACCTGGTTTCATAAAAATATAGTATTTCAGTCCTTTCCTCTAAGTTTGTTCAAAGGCAAAACATGTGGGATACTTTATACTGAGCTGTATGGAAATGTATGGAAGCCAAATGAGAAATCCTCAAGAGAAAATGCTTTCAGGTGGACACTCACAATCCAGGGCCTTAAATAGTCGTCCTAGCAAGAGTGTGTTGCTGTCAAGCAAGTTTAACGGTTCGAACAGAAGTAGACTGACCCCTTCTCTGTCTTTTCTCAGCGGGTAATGATGTGAAGGATATCTTTGCCGATGCCAGGAGCGGAGAGCAATATCGAGTCTTAAAGATCGTCATCGAGGACGGTAAGCAGTGTCCCCAGAGTTTGTTTGTACTTCTACCCAAACCTCTGCTAAGGCTGACATTACAATGCCAGCATGAGTAACAAACCCACGCACTGCTGAAATGTTTGTGGCACACATCTGCTTTCCAGAGCAGCTGACTCTGGGCACCACCAAGAAAGCGTCGAAGAAGTGGGACCAGGAGTATGATTCCTTAGTGCTGCCCCTCCTCGAGGATGACGTGCCCTGCTATATTCTGTACCGGCTGGACTCCACTAACAACCAGGGCTACGAGTGGATCTTCCTGGCCTGGTCACCGGACCACTCTACTGTAAGAGAAACCAAGCCAAGGCTGGGTTTAATGAAGGGCTTTCTATACTTCTTGGTATTTGTCTTCCTCTGCTCTGCGTATCAGATGGGTGGGGTTACCACATCAAGGCAGCGACTCTTTGTATGCTTGCTGGATAACCGTGTATTCATTATTTCCTAACAACCCTCTTGAGATCTAAATATGGGTAGATTATGGTGCTTTCCAAATAACGTGCTTAGCCAAAACCTCCTATATCCGACTCAGAATTCATCCTCTTAGTGCTTTTAGGCGATACAGGCTTAGCATGCGGGGCTGTTTCCCTGTCATGCAAATGTGTGTTTTGCATTGGTTTTATCTCGTGCAGTGTCACCTAACTCATTGTTATTTTGTTCCACTAAAATTTGATTACCCACTTGTGGGAGAGAGTCACTGCGATTCAAAATAGCCATGACAAGCAGACATACAAATGTTGTTTCTGTAACAGTGGAAAGAGGAATGTTGCAAGGAGAGACCAGTGCCAAAATAAAGTGCCATGCGGGATATTTGTAGCACTCTAACTGCATGGTGAAAATGAGCTCAGATTCGCTTTCTGAAAGACATAACTGAGCTTAACATTCCAGCCCCCTAGCTCAAAGCACAGTGCTTTCAGGTTGAGGCTTGTCTGGAAGTTGCAAAATCATTTCCCCAACCAATGCATGCTGCTGCTTTGGCTCAATTGGTCAGGTGTGTTTTCATTTGCTTTGAGGGTTGTTTTTTTTTCCCCAGACAACTTTTTAATTGCTTGTCAAGTCAACTTTGTATAGCCTAAAATCACACATTTGCTTCAGGGTGCATTAAGGCACCTTACCTTGTGGAGTTGTGACCACTAGGGGCGCCATGTACAGGTGTTAACAGTAAGAAATGTAGCAGTGCGCCAGCAAAGGCAGGGAATAGGGAGATTGAGAGGTCTGGCTCCATCCGTTATGAGGCTGGCTTGTTTGTATTCCTTTAAACCAATCACAATTGTCTTGGGCAGCGCTAAGCACAGGATGCTACGACTGTGCCCTTGCAAAATCGGGTCCAGGTGGAGAACTTGTTTTGTTGGAACATTTGCACGTGGGATCTTAGCCCTGCCATATGAGACCGACAAATCCCTGCAAAGAAAAAGCGCAGCCACGCTACTGATTACTTACCGCGACCCACGGGTGTGGGTTAACGTTCCCGCTTCACTGTGTAGTCTGCTATGTCACCCAGGCCTGTTGTATTAATGTTGTATTTAATTCTTCCTATGTTTCACATAGTGATGGGGAAAAAGGTAGATAGTAGAAGGGTGTTAGAATGCCAACTGAAATAGCCAGCTAATGACAGGCTTATTAAAAAAAAATCCGCTTTTTATAAATGTCTTATGAGCCAGTAAGTGCATTCAGCACTCTTGTTAGATAGAAAAGATAAGTAGATAAAATTACAGATCAGAAGCTGCCAGATGTAGACCCATCTTTGCAATAAATGATGTCACACGATGACAAAAATAATATAACAAAAAACACTTATCAGGAAAAAAATATCTTTTAACCAATCATCCCTTCATGTTCTCAAACAGGTCCCACATAAAATGTCTATGCTGCTACCAGACCCACCACGAAGAAAGAGTTGACGGGCACAATCAAGGATAGATTTTTGCTACCACAAACGTTGCTCTTCACACAACAACACTGAAGTATGGATACAGCTCTTTTATCACTCAGGCGTCGTTAAACATTCAAAACCCCCGACTCTCTCATTTATGTGTCAGACCTTGTATCATTTTCTATACTGGCAACTGATAGAGCAATGATTATTGGTGAGTAATATATATTCTATACCTGATATCGTCTATTTTCCCCCC